TCAAGCTTGTGTTCATGTTGCGTTGAAACTGTTTTAGGAAGGTGAAAAATACCAACAACATAACAATATATAGATAATCGATATTGTAAAATATCAATGTGTTGAAAAGCCAATGATCTACATATATACTTAAATATGTCAACCATAAAATTAAACTGATTTAATTTACACCACAACTGTTGAAAAAACCTTTATGTTTATATAACTTATCTCATTCTAGTCCATTCAACTGACAGAATCGGTGTACATTTCATGAACTCTTTAATAACAAGAATCATCATGGGACTATTCTTTATAACAATATCTGTTAGCCATTTAGGGGTCTTTTGCATTCAAAGTTTAGTTTTAGTGGGTTTGTTTTGCGATAAAGAACTCAATTTCCAGATCAAAGTTAACATTTTCTATATATTTTGCTGTGTCAAAATGACCTAATAAATATAAAGGACAGTACCCATATAGACCCAAAAATGGTATATCACATTCTACACATGACATTTTAGCAGGAAAGACTGCCATTGGAGTATATAACTTTCAACCTGTGTATATATAATTAAAATACGATAATAAAATTCGTCTTTTTCAGGACCTCTGATCCAACCATGTAGTATGGCATGTTTGTGAGATATGGTTTTGGTGGATAGGATGTTCTTGAAGGACCTGTAGTACAAAGTATATCACTGGATTGAGCTCTTTGTCTAAGTGTATTATTAAAGTGCTTTGCTTTGAGCTCAGTTCATTGTTATGCAATTCATTCTTTGTGAAATAAAGATTTGACAGACAACTCCCATGTACAAGGATTTGTCAGGGTAGTATCCATTCTATGTACAATGTAAGTATTAGGAGATAAAAGCATTTTATTATGATTTGAACCAAACATTTTTTGTCCATTAACCAAATTTTAAATAAAGAACAAATTTACCCGACAATGCTACACTCGCTACTAGCAATATGATGCTAGGTTGTTTTAATACATCTGTACTGCCTACTGATGACTCGGTCCTGAGTGTAAATGGTCATTCAGTATGTTAAAAAAAAAGGGCAAAATTTATAAGGCCTATCTGGCCTAATTGATTTCTAAAACTATATTCCATTGTACATGTTCTACATTTTTCATTCATTTGTTTATTTCTTAATTTGTGTGAATTAACATTGTTACAGTAAATGTTAATTACTACACTTTCATACCACAACAAATACTGTATTGTATCATTTATATTTGTATCCATATAACAAAAAAAATTGAATAGAGAATAATTTTGCAATACCTTTTTCATATTGAATACTATAACTTTTTTGATATTTAGACATATTAAGTAGATTTTCATAATACCCACTTGACATGCTTGAAATTCTATCGGATTACTTTTGAAGCAGTTATGAGTCTTTGAAGCATGCTCACAAAGGTTTTTTTGTTGATATCATTTTCATATTGGTCAAAACTTTTTTTTGCTTGGGCCAGCTTTGGAGGAGATGTTATCAAAGAATTGATAAAAAACAACACAGAAGTTTACTTTCTAGCTCTTCTAGCCCCAAGCATCATGTCAGGCATTGTCATTACTAAAAACCAATAAATGTCTTCTAATCTGAGAAACAATTTCGACATTTTAACAGAATATTTTACTAATGATACTTACAATCCACCACAAAGTAATATAAATAGAACCACACAAATAGTGAGCAAATACATATAAAAAAGATGTGGTATGATTGCCAATGAGACAATTCTCCACAACAGACCAAAATGACACAGAAATTAACAACTACGGGTCACCGTACAGCCTTCAACAATGAGCAAAGCCCATAACACATAGTCATTTAAGTTATTTATGTACACAAAATAAACGAAAAACAAATATTATGTAACACATAGACAAACGACAACCACTGAATTACAGCCTCCTGATATCATGTTCTCAGATATCATCTCCCATTTGAAAAAAAATCACATGAAAAAATGAACCTATTATGTGTTGCTCTCCTAGCTACAAAATGTAACCAAAATCAAAGATGTGGAAAATATTCTATCATAATCATTTGGTAATTAATGCAATTAGTGCCTCTTCCATGCCCGTCTTGAACATAAAATCTAAATATAAATAAACAACACTCCTCATGCTCAGGTTGGTTGTCATCGTGCAACACAGTTAATAACAACATATAGGAAAAACATAGAACTCCTTTTGTCATATAAAACACTGTCAAACATCCAAACATACTCTCCACATTCATCTGTGTCCACACTTGTATATATATAAAAAAAAAGTCTAAATTGAAAACAACGATCAAACCTATGATTGCTTTGGATAAAAACCGCAATTTTTATACGTGTGCATGCAAAACAAATTTCTTGGTAGAGGGGTCTAAATACAGCACAAACAACATTTTCCAAAAGACCAAAAAAGTGAAAAAGTATATTTTATTTATATCAGTATATAAATATACTGATACGGTAATATATGCTATAGTTTTCTCCAGACTTGGTTAAATGCGTCGATTAAGAAATCATTTGCAATATGGAAGTCTTATTTTATTACAATGGCTATATTTTGCCTATTTTTCAATTATTGTAGTACAATATGGAGTGAAACATCCATTTCTAATTTTGAAAAGATATATACAAACTACAAAAAGCTGCAAAAAGTATTCTTAATTGAAAATATGAAGTCCTATTAACTTGGTTGACTTACTACGAAGAAGTGAATACCATTGAGGTTTACTTATGCATCAATGTATTAACAATTATGCTCCAGATTAAGTATGTGATATTTCGAAATCGTATCATCAAAGTTATTATTATTATCTTGTACATATTAATGGAAATATTTTAGTGCCGAAATCAAAAAGAAAACATTTCATTATTCAGGTATATCACTATGGAAAAATCTACACTAAGCTTCAACTGTGGATTTTACACTATTTTGTATTTGGTTTATTTTCCATTTATTTTAAGTGGAGAAACACATGTTATATAGTATACTTTTGTGTTAAGGTTCACGCAAAACTTGATTTCGGTATATAATTTTTAAAAAATAGAACATAACTGAAAATTAGCTTGCATTGATAATAAAAACAAAACAAATTCACTTACAACAAAAGATGACTGGCGGCATTTTTAATTTTTATTGGGTTATACAAGATATACTTGTGTGTGTTATGCAAGATATTCTTGTGTGTGTTATACAAACGTTTTTCAATGACTGCGAGTCACGAGATATACGAATATTGATAAATTCTCATGCGAATAATGATGCTGATAAATTTGGACTTTTTTTCAAATACGTACGTTGGGCAGCTCCTTCGACAAAACTGATAGCTGCACATTGTTTAATAATTTGACTTTTTTATCAAGTCTCTTTTGATTACATATGAATCTCATGCATTTTAAATCGATAAAGCTTGAAACACCTGTATTTGTTTCACATACAGAATCAAAATATAAAACTTGTCAAATTCCGCTTGAATATCAAAATTTAAGAGTCTCTATTATGTACTTACAATTTTTTAACCAATTTTACAGATTTTTATAAAATCAAAATGTTATTCAATGGTACATGATGTTGTTAACTTCCTGTCTAGACATTTTGATACACATTTTATTTTTTGAATGTTTTTAGTTAAACGTTGCACCGAAAACGTCTAAACCAAAAGGAAATAATTTTACCCGAAAATCAATATACAGCTTAATTTCCAACAAATTGGTTTTGTTTACGAATGTCATTCTTTTATAGTTTTGGGATAACTACTAATGATTTGCAAAAATCTGTCAAAAATGTGGTTCCGAGCTATCTTCTGTTAAAGGGGCATTAGCTGTCAAATTCTTGTTCACCGATTTGACTCAAATTCTCAAATTGATATAACATACTAAAACATATATCCAAATTACAAAATGTCTAAAATATGAAATTAATAATGCATGGACTCGATAATGTATATAAGCATTTCTTGTGTATTTTAGTTTTGACGCCAAAAAATTAACCATCGAGATGACCTCCGACATAAATATAAATAGATAGCGATCACGTGCAATTGGATTTTTCTAGGTCTGTTTGATTTCATGTAATGTGTAAAAAAAAATATGTTAATCATCGTTTTTACCTGTATAAGAATGATTTTTTGTATATCAAAGTAGTCGACTAAAGGGTTCACCCTTGTTTCACTTTCAAGTGAGAGGCGAACGATACCAAAAGGACATTCAAACTCACAAGTCGAAAATAAACTGACAACCCCATGGCTAAAAAAGAAAAAGACCAACAGACAAACAATAGTACACAAAACACAACATAGAAAACTAAAGACTGAGCAACACGAACCCCACCAACAACTGGGGTGATCTCAAGTGCCCCGGAAGGGTAAGCAGATCCTGCTCCACATGTGGCACCCGTCGTGTTGCTCATGTTAGTACAAACCCAGTAATAAGTCTAATTCGGTAAGTCACATTCGGGGAAATGTTGACATTCTTTTCCTTTTAATAGCTGAATACGCCTAGCACATGCGTAACCCATCTCCAGCTAAGGGGTTAAATTGAAGGTTACATAAAAACGGATTCACACGAGGTCGAATTATTGACTTGCAAGTCAAAAATACATCAGCGATATTTTTGAGTTCATTTTGACAAATGTGGACCAAACTAACTGCTTATAACGAAATATTATTTCGAAATTCCGTAAAGATTGAAAGAAATTTTGAAAAACACGCTTGCGGGAAATAAATTCTAGGAGAAAACAACCTAACTAAAATATAGACCTCTGATTTCTTTATCTCCATAGAGATAACGAAATCAGAGGTCTATATTTTAATTAGATTGAGGGAAAAAGGCCCTTCCTCTTTTGGTTTCCGATGACGGTAAATCAAAATGCGTATCAAACAGAAAGAAAATGTGTTTGGTTTATAAACACCCAAAACAGCCTTAGTTTTGACAGAAGTGAAAGTATGAAAAGTAATTTTTCTCAAACTAAATATTTTGTTTGTATGTTTTAAGCACTTCAATGTAAAATAATACAACCACTAACAAAATTTTATTCTTAACAAATAACTTAGTAAATACACAATGAAGATAGAAATAATTCATGAAATAATTTAATATCTCGATATATATAGTTAGGAAAACGACATTGCATTGCATATACAACCATTTTCATTTGGAAAGTTTACTTATCTATGTAACATTTGAGACAATTCGTTAGCTGATGTATTTTTGTCCATGCTACTTACAAGGTTTATTATATCATTTCCAGTTTCACCTTTCAAAAAATTTGTATTCTTTAGGAACTTCTTTTGAACGTCTTTATCGGTTAGAGGATAACGCCAGTGTCCATACGGTGTTGAACACAAGCTCTCCTCAAATGTGCCATCTTTTAGTTGAACCAATACGTTGACATACATGTCTGCAAAGGAAGGAATGTTGTCATCAGGAGTTTCAACTGCAGTCTTTTCCAGTAAGTTAGTTACAGACTGTCGCTCTCTGTATTGCTGTCTAAACGTTTCAGGTGTGATAATTCCATCCAACAGCGCCGAACAGACAGTAAATTGGAACGAATGTCTGCCTTCATGTTCACTGTTTGGAATCTGACGGTTTATATACTTTGATTTTGGTGCTATAATTTTTATGCCTTCAATGTCATTGAAAGAAAAGTTACCAATTTTATTTTGTAGTTGTTCCCTTGCACTTAGTGCGGCATCAATTCCCCAGTGCATGCCTAAATGGCACGGATAACGTTTGATTGCGATATCTTGGTCATGCAGTAAGACATTGTCAGCAGTCTCCAAAATAGTGATGAGTATTTCAGGGTCATAATCTTCGTAAAAAGCTCCAAAACCTGAAACCATGTCAAGAATTTGGCTATTTCCTTCTATTCCTTTGTCTGCAAGAAGGGCCGCTTCCAGACCAAAACGAGCAGACTTTCCAGAATGTAGTGGTTTTGTCATTGTTCCAGCATTTGCCATAGGTGCTCCAGCAAATGATGCCGCTATGGCCATAGCGTGTCTGCACTTCCATGTCCCTAAGCCCAATAATCTTGCTGAAGCAGCAGCACTTCCCATTACACCAACTATTGCAGGAGGGTGTAACCTGTAAAATGGTCAGTGCTTTTATCTATATATATATATATATATATATATATATTTAACGTGTGTGTGTGTGTGTGTGCATGATAACAAATACATTTTTTTTAAAACTTGAACAATTATATTTACCAATGAACCAATATCATATTTCACAAGAAAAGGAAGCACTTTAAAAATCAAAGTACTTGTTGGATTTTCAATATATTGATACACGTCAACATCAGTACAAATTATTTTTATTATTTTTCTTCAAGTTTTTATCAAATTGAAAAAGTATTGAAGGAAGCCCCTTTTTAAAATTGGAATCATTGTCTGATGCATAATTTCAAAGCAGGTATACAGCACAAATCTGCACAGAATTCCAATGCAGAAAAATAAAAGAAACGTTTAGTTGTTGAGCACTTATTCTAGCTTCAAACTAAAAATTGACGAATTGATGTTCATCCCAACAATTCCGAACACAATACTATAGCTGAACAAATCTTATAAATAAGCCTACCAAGCCAAAAGGGAAATTCATAAACTTGTTAGTTTTATAAACCATATTACCATAAAAATGTTTAGTGTGAAATACATTTTTTGTAGTATTTGTTAATCTATTTATCTATATTTATTTTTCCCCATTTTTGTACCCAGACTATACTACCTGTTAGGAATATTCCGAGCATTAGCTGAACATCTTAGTAAAGCTCCTTGGACTTGAATACCAATGTTAAACGCCACCAAAATATCTTGAAGAGTAGGCTGGAGAGATTTAGGAAGCGAGTCAGCCAAGGCCAGAATGGATGGTAAAACTGGGCCACTGGGGTGTGTTGCTGGGTGCCATGTATCGTCAAAGTCCATAGAATGAGTACTACATCCATTCAGATATGCAGCCATAGGTGGCGACATTTTTAAATGTTCGGTTCCCCAAACTAAAGCTTTGGCATGTTTGTTAACACCATGTGTTTCCATGGCAAATTCTCTGAATGTGGCTGCAATGTCAGTTTGTGAACCAATAAGACCAACTCCAATTGTATCAAGAATCATGCGTTTACTTCTATGTATGACCTTATCTGATAAATCATCATACGAAAATTCTGCCACATGGTCCGAAAGAAGTGTTGTAAGGTCCTGCGGCGGATATGCTACAATAAGATATTTACGTCAGTATCAATACTTTCTGTGACTTAGTTGAATGATAAACAGTTTTATTCAGATTTGACGATAACTTTACATTATAATCAAAAACTGCTACAAATACAAAAAATAAATAAATTAGCAAATCTTGTATTTGTCTACTACGGACAACGAAACCAAACAGAACAAAACTAAGTTAAAATTAAAGTTACTTCACTTAAACTTAAATTTTTAAAAACTGCATCTTACCTGAATATCTCTGGACATCATTTAAAACTGTTGTCGACTGGTTTCTCATGAGTGCACGTAATACCTTAATATTCCCACAACCAAGTACTCTTGTGACATGTCTTGCAGTAGTATACTGAAATTTGAATGAAACCATCTCTTTACATTTTCTCACTTTTGATGATCGATATAATTTTTTTTTCTTCTAAAAACAGATTCTTGCATAAGCAGTGAAACGGGAGAGTTTTCATCTCAACTCTCAAAGCTTAACGGAAGAGGACAAAGACAAATTCATGCATTTCTCCGTGAAAAAAAATGAAATACTCTGTACCTTCCGCTAAATCTCATAACCTCAATAAACTCTTTTGCAGTAACATTTTTATTGGTTTTACTTTTGTTTTGTTTTTGTTTGTCACACACACACACACACACACTTTCGTGCACAAAAGTATTAGCCATCGCCTTAATCGCATATGAAACAAAGGTCGAAACAAAATAAGAAAACTTATTGTTAAATAAACAATGTTCAAAAAGTATCAAATGTGCTTAAAAAACTAATCGACATTTACCTTCATCATCAACACCCCGAAGTCATATATACATTATTTGCTCATGGTTACTCTTTCTGTTTATATACCAGCTGACAGTAAGAACCAATTGGAAAGAAGGAATTTCCATTTACGATTTCATCTTTTTGGAAAATCATCACGTGTTGACAACTATCCTACACATGACAATTGTTTTCCCGTAAATGTACTACATTTGTGGATTTTCATTTTGGTAAATCATAGTTTATTAATTAATTGAACATTTAAATAAAACTGCACTGGTTGTATACAAGGAAGGAAATGACTTCTTGAATCACTCACATGTAGGAGGTTTAACGCTTTATCATATGAAGAGTTATATCGCTGGTCAATGAAAGTGCTTTATTTCCCAAGGCATTCTTACAACGAAGCAAAACTATACGTTTTTTTTTACTTATGATTAAAGAAAAAAATGTACCCTGCTCTCATTTTTGTCTATATCGAGAGGCCTACTTGGTCCTATTTAGATGTGGAATATTGCCTTTGAGGATAGAAACTCGGCGTTATATCGGTGAACGACCAACAGAAAGATTTTGCTCTGAAGAAGTGACCGAATGCGAGACTCATTTTTTACTGGACTGTTCATTCTATACTCAAGGCTGTCATTCGATATATCCAGAAATATGATCGTAAAGAATAAGTAACGGTGGTCAAGCATTGCGATCGGATCGTGAATGTAATTTCAAAATGTAAGTTTCTACTTCAAAATCTGTGAAAAATCCTCTGTATTTTCAAACAGCGGAACAAATCAGAAAAAAAATATGTCTTTCAAAATGATTCAACTTCATCAATAATACTGTGCTCTATGGTGAAGAAAAGATGCAGTACTTTTTTAAGAAAACGCAAAAGGCGACACACAATCCTTCGCGAACCATTTTTAGAAAACCCACGTTTTGTATCTATAATGATCACATTCCAAATTATCATGATATATTTGAAACTTAATCTTTAGTGTGTCAGATAGTACAGTGAAATACAAGTATTTTTTTCCCCATGGAAACGTTCAAATTATTTTTTGAAAAAGTAGAATTTTGTTAATTTTTGATAAAAAAAATAGATCGTAAAAGATCAGGCAACAATCATTTTGATCGTGAAAGACAATGCGTGACCAGACTAAGTCTTAATTATCAGAAAACTAAATTATATAAATCCATATGTTCAGCAAAATATTGGAGAATGTGTCCACCAAGTATTTGGTATCCAAAGATGTTTATTCTAACAGAAACTCCACATATAGTATTGTGTTTTTGTTTATTGTTTGTTTTTTTGTATACATCTACTTTGCTCAATAAAAATACTAACATATGGAACAAATCTCCGTGATTTTAAAAGCTCTCACGGCGTACAAAAAACGCAAACGACAATGTTTAGTCTTCATTCGACTCGAAGTTAAACAAATAGTTGACCAAAAAAACACAACAAAAATGTACAAGTTTTATTATGGTTGTGATTGTTTTGAAACGCTATAAATGCGGATCCCCCCCTGGCCCCCTACCAGGACTTTGCCATGGACCTACTGGGGGGGCCTTAGGCGACCCGCAGCCCCCTTGCCCTTTAGTTTGTGATTCCACTTCATTAAGAAGGTAGCTACGCCCCTGTCAGCCCTTCTACAAAATACTTAATACATAATATTTTTTTCATTGTTTTTTGAACTTTCGAAAATTTCCCCTGACAACCAATCAGATTTAATTGACGAAAGGCCTAAAGTATATTACATGATGCCTTATAGCTAGTAGATACATTTGTCTTTTAAAATTCAACTGTCATTTAACTTTAAGGATCATAATTATGCCATGTGGATAAATTAAATTAATCGATTTTCAAGAGCTAACTTGACAGCGCGTCATCCTTACAATGGCTACCATTTTCACGATTGAAAAAAAAAATGAAGAGATAATTTTGATGATGTAGAATCCTGACTTTCTGTGTAAAGGTCTGTTAATTAATTTACACAAAGCATCCCCCTTTTTTTACAAAGTATAATATGAAGATAAGTCAATTATCAGCTTCAAAATAGATTCAATAGATTAAAAAATCATTGAGAAAAACAAATTGTATACAGTATTTAAAATGCAAATTAGATAAATATTTTATAAATGCTCTTTGTACTCCTTGAGATGACCCTTCTCAAAAAAGTAACCGTCGTCCTACTCCGTCCTAGGCATAGGTGCAAGCGTCAGTATCGATAAGTTTTCGAAAATGTCTAATACCATCATTGACCACAACACTGTTTTGTCTACGGATGAGAGAATCACTCGGGAAAGTTTTTTGTATAAGAAAACTAAAAACGTCGGCACCAAATGGGATCAATGAAAAGGTGTAGTTCTAATCGAGCAGTGCAGAACTAAGCAGTCTCTGTTATAACTCATTCACCTAAACAAAGTGAATAAAATGAAAAAAGAAGCGAAAGAAAATTTGGAAAAAAAATTGGAAAATATAATATTAGATAATGCCGGCAATTCTAAAACTTACTGGAAAATTATGAAGATGCTGATTAAACCCAATAAAGGTTTTTGTAATATACCCCCACTCCAAAATATTTTAAACAGTTTTGATAACTTTGCCTATGGCGACGACGAGAAATGCGACCTCCTAAATAAGTATTTCTGTTTTATTTCATCGTTGGAAGGAACTGATACTCAATTACCCGATTTTAAAGAAAAAACTAACAATCTATTGAACGATATAGTGATTAATACTAATGAAATTGTTGATATCATCAAACTTTTAAATCCCAACAAAGGTCCCGACATCATAAGTCATAAGATACTCAAAATTTGTCCCGATAAAATTGCAATTCCACTAAGTATGATATTTAATAAATCATTACAGCAGTGTAAATATCCATCTAGTTGGAAAAATTGCAAATGTGATAGCTTTATTTAAAAAGGGTGACAATTCTTTACCTTCCAATTATCGACCAATATCACTCGTTAGTTGTATAGGTAAAATCATGGAACGTGTTATATATAAACATGTTTTCAACCACTTACAAAGAAATAAATTAATATATGCATATCAATCTGGTTTTCTCCCTAAATGCTCAATTGTTCATCAACTATTAGAAATATATAATTGCATTTTGAACTCACTTGAAAAGAAGGAGATTAGTTGTTTTGTATTTTGCGATTTTTCAAAAGCCTTTGATAAAGTTTGGCAAGATGGACTTATACATAAAATGAAGGCTTATGGTATAAATGGTAATCTATTAAAATGGTTTAAAAGCTATCTGAGTGATAGAAAACAAAGAGTGGTTATTAAACAGTCTTCTTCAAAACTTTGCAATATTTCTGCTGGGGTTCCACAAGGGTCTGTCCTCGGACCATTGCTTTTTATAATTTACATAAATGATATCGCGGAAAACTTTATTCTCTCTGCAGACGCTTTGCAGATGACACATCGTTCAGCTATGCAGATCACGATGCATTGCAGATAGAATCTGTTATAAATCACGACCTGGATGAGCTGAATGAATGGTCTAAAAAGTGGTTAATGTCTTTTAATCCTGATAAAACAGAAATTATGTTATTTTCGAATTTTGACATCCCAGAAATGAATTTTACATTTAATGGAAAAAATATACCAGTAACTAATAATCATAAACACTTAGGAGTTACATTTGGCAATGATGCTAAATGGAATGTTCATATTGACAATATTATTTTAAGTGTATCTAAACATATAAATATGCTTAGGAAACTGAAATATAGGCTTAGTAGAACAAATTTAGAAAAAACTATATCTAGTTTTTATAAGACCTTTATTTGAATATGCCAGGGAAGTTTGGGATAATATGGGATTGGGTAATATTAATGAGCTGGAGCAATTACAGCTTCAAGCTGCTCGAATAGTAACGGGTTTACCTATTTTTACAAGCTCAAGGGTAATTTACAAGGAACTTGGGTGGGAAACGTTGGCAGAAAGAAGAGAAAGAAGAATAATTCAAATGTTTTATAATATTACCCAAAATAATGTACCAGAATATTTGAGTAATTTAATTCCACCAACAATCCAAAGTATGACTGTTTATGCACTACGCAATGGTAACGATATAATACTTCCGTTCTGCAGACTTGCATTAACTAATGAATCATTTATACCATCAACTATACGTCTATGGAATAATCTTGATACTTCAACCCGCGAAGCAGATACAATAGGAAAATCTAAAACGAAACTAAAAAACTTAAATCCCAAAAGTAATAAATACATGACGAAACATTACGAGTTTGGAAGTCGTAAACTTAACATTGTGCTTACTCAACTTCGATGTTCTGCTTCCTTCCTAAATTATGATCTGTCTAGAGTTAATACTATTTCTGATCCATCTTGCCGCTGCGGTGTGTATCCCGAAGATTCGCATCATTTCTTTTTTAAATGTATATTATATTCAGAAATAAGAAGTAAGCTTTTAGAAAATCTTAGCTGGCTCCCAAATAACTGTCCATTAAATGTAGAACTATTAACCTCGGGAGCAAAATGAAAATATCTTTAAACATGTGTTTGAGTTTATTAGAGGGTCGAATAGATTCCTTATTGTTTAGATAGTAAAACATGACCACATTCACATCATCATCTAGGTTCAGTTCTTTTGATTTTTTTTATTAATTTATTTCCTTGTTATTCTTTTGTGTTCTTTTACTTTTATTTTTTTCTCTTTATTTCTATTGTGTCACTTAATTTTTCTGTCCAATTTATACAAATGTTGAAATAATATGTATTGTATGCATGCTTTTATACATTGTATTGTTAAATATGTTAAATGGAGAAGACTTCATAAGTCTGTTTGACTTGTGTCTCATCCAATTTGTTTTGCAAATAAAATATGTTTAAACTAAACTCCTTTACCTTCGTCAACTCTTAATTCGTCAATTCTAGATTTATATCAGTTCAAATTGCACAGGGCTATCCATCTGGGATGTATAAGTACGCAGCCTCTGTTGTAATCACTTAGCCTTCGTCAACTTTGAAATTTTAGAATTATACCAGTAAGACGTCGCAAGATACTGGGGCGTGTTTTATTGGTCTCTTCTGTACATCTCCAGAATGTCTTCTGGTGAAGAGTCCAAAAAAATGAATCTGGACCTCTTCTGGAGATATTCTACGGAAGATCAATAAAACAAAAATTCAATTTGCCGTCGAATATAGCAGATTTTTGTTATGATGGATGACATAAA